TCAAAGATCTCAAACGAATATTATGAACTTTTCATAGAAAAAATTTCTTCGCAGCTGAATAGAAACTGAGTCTTAACCGAGTAACTATCCGACATGTTTTAATCAATTAAACTAAGTAACCCATAACCTCGACTGACATCAAACTACACACATCTTTCCTTCAATTGTCTCTTCTATACATCAGCCATGCATTATTCACAGCAATAGCAGAATTGGTGAAAAAATTGCTGAAAAAAATGGTATAAGGTGATCAGCATGTCATCCCGTATAAAATATTGCTTAACAACTTTAGGATATATAATATCAATATCTTTTTACTTTTGTGATATGATGAGCAGTTCTTTAGAGCTAGACACGAGTACAACTAACTTTCTTCTTCTTTCCTTTCTACCTTAAACCATTTCACCGATGCTGAACCTCTTTTCTTAGTCTATTTTCAGAAAGGTATGTCTGGTTTTTTCCACAAACGGTCTTATTTCGAAAAGATTTGTATCACTATCGCTAAACAAATCAATATTTAGCCCTTCGAGAGAAGAATCAACGGTCGGTGCTTCAGAGGGTATTGAATTTCTTCGGTAATAAGAAGTTTCTACTACGTCTTCATTTCCACAGCTTGAAGCCCACGATATATAAATTGTAGCATTTATAGCTACAACTAGAGCCAGTATACGAATTGTTATCGAGACTAAAGGCGATGAAAAAAGGATAGCATAAAAAATTGCAGTTAGTATTGCGGAAAGGCAAATAAGTCTAAAGAAATAAAAAGATCCATCAGTCACCAGCAGTTGTCTTTATCATTCAAAATGTTAGCAAATAGCTTAAAAATAATAAAATAAAATAATTTACATATTGCAATAACGAATATGAACGTCAATTTTGACATAACATTCTAGTAAAATAGAAATAAAAAATATTTATTTTGACAAAGAGTGCACTCCAGTAGGTCACTATTTTGATTCACTCATTACTGCCATAAATAATTGACACACCGCAAAAACGCAATAACTAACAAAATAGACAATATACAAAAGCGAAAGAAACCAAACATTACGGTTTTAAATAAACGCATGCCTCAACAGAATTTTACGAATCACTATGTAGCAAGCTGAAGTGGCAGTGGGCTGGCCACATCTGTCGTAGAACTGATGAGCGTTAGAGCAGAAGGGTTCTCGAATGGAGACCACGTCTCGGAAAACGTAGTTTCGGACGTCCCCCTGCCAGGTGGACCTATGACCTGAGAAAGGTCGCTGGTAGTGGCTGGATGAGGAAAGCGGAAGATGGTACTTTGTGGACTGCAAAAGGCTGATTGGATATGTTGAGTAAAATTAACGGAATCAAATTAAAGGTACAAGGAAGTAAATATGATAAATAATAAGAAACTTGGAAAAAGCCTTTTTATTATAAAAAATAATACTTGAGTAACATTTTTAACAGAAAGTATGAGTGTAAGGTCATTTAGAACCTAAGGACATAAACCTTCATTGAGTCTATCAGGTTATTGGTATTATCCTTCGGTAATTGATTCCAGTGAAATTTCAATAGGTCCTATAGTTGTTGGGTGGTAGATACCCGATCGAGGTTTTTCAAATCCTTGCTCTGGAACATATCCAACGCGTGCTCAATCTTGGCTTGCATCTTCTCCTGCAAGAGCCATTCTTAAGTCCCCCTGTCGGTATAGCAGCGAGCATTGTCAACCACCATCAATCTGAGCCGATACTCTAGGAAAAGAAGAACGCAAACCTGAAATTTTTTTTGTCATAAGGATCAGCGTCTAAATTGCCATTTATGAAAACGAGTTCGTCTGTCCTTCACGGTTCCCACCCAAACCATTTCTGCTGACCCACTTAGGTGTAAGCCAGTCTAAATTCGAATCAGGACTATAATATTATCTCATCGCTCTAGCAGACACTGTACGCGCCCCTTGCTTCTCGATGGTCTTAATTTCCATGACGATTGAGTTTGACCGGCTTACCGGAAATCTTGCATAAAAGCCATATTTGTGCTAAAAACTACGATAGATGAAAATCGATCTTTCAAAACCTAGAATTTGAGAAGCTGGCCTTATTAATAGCCTAATCTTTCAAAATCGTTACAAGATATATATTTTATATTTCGTATTCGCCAGACAGTCATTTGGAATTGCGCGAATGTTTTTTTATACTTTAGCATGTTATTTTTAGTAAAGCTATATAAATCAAAACGAATTACAAAATCAATAGTAATTAGAGTAATTGTTTATTTTACTTTTATCGTATTACGCTGAACTTACATCCCTGAAACAACATTATCATATTTACATACTTTAAAGATCCGCAATTTATAAGTGAACTTATTAGCTAACCGAACCTTATCGTTATGCTACCTTAAAAGACTATATGTCTTCATTCTTATTGTTGTGTTTATTTATATTTCTTCTGAGCCACCATAAGGCGGGAAAATAGAGTTTTAATCAAAAGTCAGATTAAATAAAAGACATTTTAGAAAATACTACATGTTATATAATCGAAGTTACACTTTCATTTCATTAACAATGATCACAAAATTTCTGTTTTGCTTAATAATAACGCACCGTATAGATAACTCTATCGCATCTCTTTAGACTATTTTACGTTTTGGTAACAGTTATTTAAAAATAATTTTACAGAATCATACTATTTAAATACTAAGTTGATAACTAATGTCGCAAATATAATTTTGTAAGGTAATATTTATACAATTTTTCTATCGGTTATAAAATTTTATATATTTACAAAATGCACTTATTTGTATATAATAATAATTAATCTTAGTAACATTTGGTCAAATCTTACTGTTATCTAAAACAACTTACGACTTCTAGTTAATTATATAAATATATGTTACAAGTAAGCAGCATGTTTTTTTAAAAAAAATCTTTAATGACTTAGATGCAATTGTGTGACATATTCATAAAAATTATAAGAGGTTCGATTTTTGAATATTTTTTACTTCGAATGAATGAAAACATGATATAAAACCATTAAAGCCAGTTGAGTTACAAAATACGAAATAAAAAGCAAAGACAAATTTGCTATACTATATAAGTCTAATATTCTTGAACGTATTTTAACTGTTAACTTTCTAATAAAAGCAAATACTTGGGTTAGTTACGTTAATTAATTAATTCTTACACCTCTAATCTATAGTAATTGGTGTTCATCGTATCGAAAGACTAATTATTCTGAAAATTTAAAAAAAAGGTACAAAGATTTTAGTAAAAATCACTCAATTTTATAAATGAAGTAGAGCAGTTAGATGCTGTGTTTTCAAAGTATTTCGTAGATAAATTTAGGGCCTCCTTAAATCACAGTTTTATTGTTCAGGAAAGGGCAAGGTATTTTCCAACTATTGTTTATATTCATGGAAGCATTAATGAAAGGTTAAGTAAGTTAGGCCAGTGCATAGACCGGCATTAAATTAAATATATGTATTTTCTTACGTAACACTTTATCTAAAACTATTGTAAAGTAGGTACTAAATTACATGTACTATACTATCAATTGTTTAAAGAAAACTTATATTCCTAATTTTATATATTACAAAATGTAAACTTAGACAGACTTTTATTTTAGTGACATACAGTCACTTACGTTTGGTTCGAACTAATCATGTATAATGAATACTAATTTACACTTCGAATGTTTCAAAATTTATAACTAAAATTAACAAGAAAAGAATTGATCCCGCCTCACGTACAGATGCACGCTACAAAATCGAGATTTTACATATTCTACATTAAAATCGCCAATATTACTTATCTAATTACATTTTACACAAATTTTAGACAATAAAACGGAATATTCGAAATTTTTCGTAGTGTTTTAGGCACTATTTAGACAGCCATCAATCTTAACGTCTTACACGAAGCTTCTTAACATACATAATATATCGCAATCTATAAGTTAACAGGCAGGTTACAATTTATATTGTCTATAAACAGGTGTAAACACTTTGATAGAATCATAAAAACTTCTATATGCGTGGTGAGGCTCAAATATTTGAGTGAGATTTATTAATTGAAAATTACAAAAAGTGATCTGAATTTATAATCAACGCACCTTGATTGTAAGTCTTTACAAAATCAGGTATTCCTTCAACATTATAAAAGTGCAATTACTTGTAGATTTAGCGTCACATTTTATAGTAATAACATACGTTTTAAATGCTAGGTTACTGAATGAACAAAAACTAAGCTGTACCTTTTACAGTTTTCTACAATTCCCTGAATAATAGACTAGTTAATACTTATAGTAGTATATTTTATTAATTGTTCGTTGATAACTATTTGTTTTAAGCAATGCGAATACTATGTACGGCATCGTATTAATATAATTTACAATTAAGTATGAAGGATTTAGTAAATAAAAATTTCACATGAAGTTTCAAAATTTAAACTAGAATAAATAAAAAAGTGCATACCCGCCTATCATTGCGTTTCTTGGTAACTTAAACTATTTTTCAAAGCGTCTTTTAATAAAGTATTGGGTATACTCACAATGTTATGTCTTCTTCCGACTTTATCCACTACTTACACAATTACACTAGAAAACAGTCTGACACTTCCGAAACTTTGGGGAACAGCGAGGGAAACTACGGCTGACCTTGTCTCACACTGAGGCTTCGTCCATCGGTGAACCGGGAAACTCATTTCACTCGTCCAACATTGACGGTGTACAAAATTCACAATCTTCGTAACTAATAAACCATGAACAGGTACAATACCTTCATAACTAAAGTGTAAATGTTAATACAATTAAACCTGATAACATTACCAATGCATTTTATCTTACTTAGCTATCGTTGTAATATTACATATGCATACCTGTATGTACAAATATATATATTAGCTTTGAATCGTCTACTGTGAAACAATTTTCCCGATAAACTTACTAGGTATAGTAATGATATATAGAGGGTCAGAGGATAGGAGCCGAGTTTCGTCGAGTTCAGCAAAGGAGTTCGGAGTTGGAGGGCGGTACTCAGCTGGGTAGCTGAGTTCGTGCCACAGACGGTGCAGGGCTCGATGGCGTTGGCTGAGCGGGACTCGGGGAGTGGCCTGCCGTGCTCTCGGGAGCCGAGTGTGCTCGAACGGCCTGTTGAATAACAGGACTAGGCGGCCAAGGGTGCGAAGCGGACGCGAGTGGCCTGCAACGGAGCACATTCATATTTTCTTCAATTTCACATTACACGTTCACTTCAAAATATCGAAATTTCATCTGCGCCTGCTTGGGAGCCTGTTTTTACTGATAAATTGAGACCCAAGTACACATTAGTTCCATGATTTAAAAACGCAGTTAGTTTTAGCTGTGTTGAACTCAAAGAATTTTCAAGCTATTGTGGCTGAGGTGACACCTCAGTCCTCTCAGTCCATCTCTTCGCCGTGAATCATTTATTCAATCCGGTTCTTCTGTTGATAACAGAAATAGGAAGAAAACACGTAATAGAATGGTTCTTAATTAAAGTATACCTCGCATATGGCGTAATTGTTGATGATGGAGGCGTGGGTGCTGCGGCTGTATCTGGGTGTAGATAATTTCTGCGTTGCTCAGTTCGCTCCCAATATTGTTGTAAACATCTCGCCATTATATCTGGCAATGTGTTCATTTGTTCCTAAACATAAAAAATCTTAATGTAATATTGAATAAAATTACTCTGTGCGTTGTATACATATTTTTAGAGAACCATTGGGTACACAAATTTTATCACATATGCATATATCTAGATATATTCTGGTATCGTGTTATATCTGGTATCATTTCAATTATATATTTTCATATATAATGACATACACAACCATATTAAAATTTTTATAGCGCTAATCTCTGCACTTAAGATTAATGCTTAAGCATGCTTACGAAAGTTTATAAATTTTGACCAATCCATAAATTCTTTACGAAGTTAAACTTGGGCTAAAACATTGTTACTTTTAGTATGGAGTGATTCAAATACGCATCATAATGGATCTTCCCGTAGAAATGAGATGTTTTACCGCGGTGAAAAGCAGTCAATATCGAGCTTCCTATCTCCTTACACAAAAATCATACCATAATATCGATCGTTGTCAGATGAAAGAAGGACAAACAAACAAACATTGCATTTATAATATAAGTCTGTCTATAAATTAAAAATGAAATTAAATACACGGATTAATATTTTGTTTCTTCATTTGAGATTACTAAACCATCAATAATAGTAGTAACATCATTAACACTATACTACTATGTTAAAAATATATGATTCTCTTATGCTATGATGCGCTTCTTATTTTACCTGTAATGAAGTGAGTTTTTCTTCTAAACTAGTCAACCTCTCTTCTATACTGTCTTGTCGAGTACTCATGTCCGAAACTATCTCATAAACGGTATTCTGGGTCTGCAACAGAAAAGGGTCCTAAAATCAATCGATTTGCAGCTCATTAGTCACCGTTGGATCTAATCGTGGCTGACTGTCCAGTGTTTGTATTGTCTATCACTTTTCTATTTTAAATAGAATCATTGAATTTTGATTAAATCCCGAGTCCGTTCAATTGGTCATTGTCAATTAACAATAAAGTGTGGTCAAATCAACATGCACTAAAACTAATGGCAATGGATTCTAATAAAGAGTGGACACTAATTAAATAATTGAAAATAGTTTTGAGTTAAATAAGAAACTTAATAAAATAAACTAATAAGCTAAACATCTTCTCAACTACCTACATACGTTACAAGCATATTGTGTATAGGTATTAAGTCTATTACTTTTTTTTGCTATCTACTTGATGAAAGTGTAAAATGGAAATAGCAAATGCTATAGGTAGGAAAAAGGATTTAGATTTACCTTTGCCATATCCGTGATTGTATTTGCGTTGTCCATTAGTTTCCTCTGATCCATTTTCACTTTTCGTAACCTGAAGCGAAAAGTTTAGCAAGCATTATCCAAGTTTATTACAGCGGGTATACGTGTAAAGAAATTACTTATATTTTTCTACCACTAGCGACCCTCCCCGGCTTCGGACGGGTGCAATGTATTATACATATGAACCTTCCTCTTGAATCACTCTATCTAGTAAAAAAAACCGCATCAAGATCCGTTGTAGTTTTAAAGATCTAAGCATGCATAGCGACGGACAGACAGCAGGACGACTTTGTTTTATACTATGTAGTGATGCACAACAAAGAGAAGTTTACATTTCAAGTGACATTTTACCACAGTCACTCACTTGTTTTGCCTTCCCGGAACCCCTCCACTAACACTTAAACTTTATGGTATGGTATTAAAGTTCAAATTGACTTTTAAGTATTATTACGAATCTTTTGTACGGGAATATAGAAAAGTGTTGTTTTTAGAATTTTTCAGGCAATTTTTTCTTTCATAAGAACCTTCTCCTGATAATAACAAACACAACAAAAGAAAAAAAATTGAAATCGGTCCAGCCGTTCACGCGTGATGGCGTGACCAAGGGAAGTAGGGGTTCATTTTTTGTTCAGAACAGAAGTTTTTCTGAATATTTTGATTTCGATAAATGGTAGAGGATATCACTATAAAAGTTAACATCATTTAAATTTTAACAGCAAATGTAACATCTCTGGTTTTCATATATTTCATTTTGAAAGACATCAAAAATTGGGCGTTTTGCTAAACACAGTAGATTGCAACATGCATTGCTTAAAATGCAATAAACACAAAGTAGTTAATACGTTGAGATTTTCGACGGTGCTAGTGAAGGTGAACCCAGAGAACGCAGGTTCGAATCCTATCACCTATCAGGTGGTGAACACCTTTTCATATTTTTTTACAAATTTTAAACATCAATACGTTTTTGTATGTATTGAAAATGGCTGCGGAGCTTTTGAATTTGTTGTTTGATTTTTTGATACATGAAATAACAAACCTAGAAAAACAATTTCGCGTTTATAAAATTAGCAGGACTATCGAAATACTTACGCGTAGATTGCCAACAGGAATTTCCTTTGATGTGTCCGGACTCGACCTGGATGAACTCTTTTGACGAGTCGTGTGTGCTTGTAAATTAGCCAAGTCTCTCTCAAAACGTTGGCGGCGGCATTTTTTAACTGTAATTGTTATAAGGATGTTGATAGGTACTTTGAGTTTTGTGGGAATTTTGAAATTGAAATGATACTGTATCACTCTTGGCGACTTAATCATTTATAACAGTTAAACTGTGACTGGGTGAAGAAGAATATCCTACGAGTAATTAATTTTATACTGTTGTATATATAGTTCATTTAAATGTTAGTTATATGTTAAATTAAAGGCATGCTGAGTGTTTGTGTGTTGATGTTGTATCTGTTATAACAATATTCACTTTTATTATGAAAGGTTAAAATATAGTAATTATAACAAAACTAAATAAGCTACAAATTTCTAATATTCATTTGAATGCAATATCAGTTAGTCGGTATTCATTGTGGGCATCCTTACCTTGCCTCCTCCTACCACCTTAAAACAAACCCTTACCTTCTTGGTGAGTTGAGTTTCCATCATGAAGTTATGTACGTGCTTCTCAGCTCTAGTTAATTCTAACTTTCTTGAAGCAACGGTCACTAACAATGCTGTACATCCCGCCCCCTGTTAATTAGATTAATAATAATTGTGATGAACTGATGCTGATGGAATACTTACTCTTTTAGTAAGTTGTGTATCCATCATGAAGTTATGAACGTGCTTCTCAGCTCTAGTTAATTCTAACTTTCTTGAAACAACCGCGACTAATAACGCTGTGCATCCAGCTCCCTGTTAAGTGAATACCTTAATGTAAAATGTAAGCGATCGTGTAAAAGCATTCATTTTTTACATTCCTCGAATAAAATGATGCGCTTCAAATGCTATAACTTAAAACAAAACATATTCAGAGCTAGAAGGGCTACATTTAGCTGAATACTATTATAAATTAATTTCATAATGGCGACTGCATATTATTTATACAAAAATCAATTAAATAGGAATTTACTTGAGATCAATTATTCTACCAGATATACTAGTCAAGTAACAAATTTATCTGTAAGACTTCTAAGGAAAAGAATTTACAGAATGAAGTCACGATTTTTTTTCTTATCTGTTGGATATAAAATTACAGATGATTTACAAGAAAACTTTTACGCTTTATTTATTGTTATTTTTTATGTTACTTATTTGCCCTTTTTGTCTTACAAATTCAAAGGTATTTTTTAATAAATCAAATCATAATTTTAAAAATGAGCAGGTCAAAATGTTTTTTTGGCCAAACTATCCATTATAGTTTACAGATGAAATAATCTTCCTATTAATTTTAATCATCTAGCACTAATTCACACTCTTAGTGTTGTAATATAATTACATAATTCTAATCTATGTGACAAGAAAATCCGCTGTTCTATTCAATCTAACAATTTATGTGCTAAATTATTTTAATGCTTACTTAATTAGATGTGGATGATTATTTATCTTTATCTTTAAACTTAAATTAATGCTAATTAAGGTGCAATGAAGTACTTGTACTTTTTTATTTCTAACAAATTGGAAAAGTGAGCCATTTTAGAAATTAATGTACAGTGCAATCAGTGAAAAATTTAAATATGTGAAGAGAGGTCTACTAAGAGAAAAGAGATTTTAAGCATTCCATACTAAATATATATATATCATCTAATAGCTGGCTTTAACAGGGAAATGGACGTTAATTTATTAATTAATTTCTTTTTTTCGAAATTACTCTTTACAATTGACAAAAATGTTTTAAGTCATTCTGTAACTTGTTTTTTTTTTTCACATGGAAATATTGATGGTTTATAAATATTAACAAAAAACATACATCGCCAAACAAAGACCTTACATTACTGATAAAAGTAATTTACATGTGCTATTTGCTAATATTTACTCGGTGAAGACATCGATTGACATTTTATACATTAAACACCTTTGTAATGTTTTGAAACTCCGGAAAAATGTGTTTGACAATCAGTGTGGAGTACGTATGTATGTAGGAGTATATTACTTTTCGCTATAAGTGTTGACTGACCAAATCAATACGTCTTAAAAGTTTAAATACTAATAAAATTATCAATGCAAATGATACAAATATTATTTTATCCAATAATTTCTAATCTGTAAGACGTTTTTCAATTTTACGCTCGCTTTTAAAGTTATATATTTTGCCGAAACATATTAAAGAGAAGTTCAAATTTATATATGAATGTAACAATTTTTTTCAGATAATTTAATTAATTGAAGATTTCATACCTGGTCGGTCCACACGAATAGCTTTGAAAGACTTACCATAATACCGGTGCTTACGGCAATACCCCTGCCGCAATATGTGTTTGGCACAATGTCTCCGAAACCAACGGAGAGAAATGTTATGGCAATGAGCCACATCGCATTGAGAAGGTTAGCGTGTTCTTCATCGTGAAACCTGAATCGTTAATAAATTAGGATCCTTTCACTGTTAGAACCCGAAAAACAGAGCATCTTTTCATATTAAACAAAAGTACAGAAAGGTCAATGAAAAATATTGGCCAACGAAAATTGTCTCGCTCAATATTTCTGAATAAAATGAACAAGAATGTTACAGACAGGCTTTAAAGAGTTTGACTTTGATCGTGAAATCGTGTTTATACGGTTTTTAAATAAAAGTGTTATTTGTTTTACGCATAAAATGGCTCACCTTTACCAACTTACAAAATACGGCACATGGTTTTTGACCAAGTAACAAGAGTTGTGCTAAATGTTGTCAATACTTTTAAAAGAATGGTCCAACGTATACCTCGAAAGTAATGACGTCCACAAAAGCCTCCTTTTTAATACGTACCACCATGCCGCAGGTGAGTGTAATGCCACGTCCGCAGTACGTGTTCGGGACAATATCGCCGTAGCCAACACAGAGGAAGGTAATAGCAGTCAGCCACATTGAATTTAGCAAATTTGCATGGTCTTCATCGTGGAACCTGGGTGCCAAAATACCCGACAAGAACCACAAAGTAACCGACAATTCTAACATAGTAACACTACTTTATTATAATATTTTAATCAGCAATAAACACGAAGATAGTGTTTTTGCAATTTTATGAACTAAATTTATATAATGTCATCACATAAACACTGCAGAAGAAACCATTGAAACTGATCAACTTATTTAATTGAAAGGACTAATAAATTTGGTACGTACGCAAGGATTTGAAAAAAATGTCAACAACGTGCAATCTAAACACTTAATATAATCAAATATACTTTGGCCATGCGCGTATATCCTTACTGGGTAACCACAGGCTAATAACACACATATAACCAACATTAAAGTGATAGACACGCAACAAGAAGAAAATATAGAGTACAGAATTTGTTTAAAGCCCTGTATACGGGATATACATGGATTGATGGTATGTAAATGGATGACAGTGATTAAAGTGCAGTGTATGATGCATGATAGTACCAGTTAAATAACGCTTTAACCGTTTTATAACCTTGAGCCATTTTGTGCGTAACTACTGCAGTTGAATATATAAGAAGCACTTTTCAAGAGATGTATTTTAATTAATTAGTTTGAAACTTACGTTTGACATTTTCTGTTTGAGTTTATTTATGTCAGAATAATTATATTAAGTGCTACAATTACAATTTATTTTAGAATTATTCAGATTTTTTTTTTTTTCACTTTGTTTAAGTGGTAAAATCAACCTGTCTAAACTTCAAAAATACAATATTCATGATAATATTACGTATAGTCAAAGTCAAACTCTTAGTTCTTTTAAATTAATGATTGTGAGCGATTTTTTGTTTTTGTCTTATACCAATGATGTCAACTACACACGGATAAAAAACAAAAGAACGACAAAGTAATGAAGCAGTTGCATACCACGTAGGCAGTACGAAAAAACTAACACATAATTATTCATTTTCTCCGTCAGGCCGATTTAAAAATTAAAATTACAAAAGCGGGGCTAAGAATACATTTCACATATACACATAGATAGCAATGAACAAAATAGCAAAAATAAACAGATAATAGCCAACTTTCTATAACTGAAATAAGAAAACTTATTTTGTGTTTTGAATTTACAGAAACTAACAGTTTTATTTGTTAAGAAGTTTTTAGCGATTTTGCGACCACGAACAAGGTCGTTAGGTAATTGTTCGATATTTTATATAGTATTGCATGATATCACGTCACATTTACACAAACAATACTAACCTTTCACATTGCCGCAACGTCCAACTTGCGATTATCCATAGGGACACCATGAATACTAGCAGTACGGTACCAGGACAAATTGTCATAAGTGTTTTTAGTACAAATCTGCAAAACGGTATACCTAAAGTTGCTTTATAAATAAACAGACTCGTGACTTATACAAAATTTTATTTTTATTTATAAATTATTAAACATGAAATTAATTTGCCTGAATTATTTCAATTAACACTATGATATTAACTAAATGTTCTTTTAAACTAAACAATCTGAATTAAAATTTTAGACGCTGAATGTACATACAGTTTTATATTAAAATTTATAATGAAAGTCACAGTTGTTACCTAGTATTAAAATTTATTCTATTCAAGGCTCCAATGCTTCGAGATGACGCATCAGTAAATAATTTGCTATGAAGTAGCATAACCCTGCATATTAAATAAAGGCGAAAGAACATAGGCAACGAGAGAGTTACGTCGTATGGAACCTGAAATCACAGAAGAATTAATTATACAATCAAAATTCGTTTTTACAAAGGAGAATTAAGCCAGATTTATATTCAAAGAAGAAAAATCAGATAGCTATAAGCTAATTAAATTCATTTTATTTTAAAAATTTTATATGTTTCCACTAAATAATTAAAATTTCATAATTATCCACAACTTTTTATGATTTTAAAATAATAGGAACAGTCCTTTTGAAAATGCTTATTTCAGATTATAAAAAGTTTCTTCGTTTATAAATAGCGGACTTTTTTTAGATAAAGTAATTAAGTACAACTCGTTATAAGAACAGGCATTGGTAAGCAGAACTTGATACTTAGCAACATTTAGTCTTCACACTTTTAAAACATTATACATGCATATAATTTTGAATATGTTTATATTTTATTACAGATCTATTAGAAAAATTTTTAATTAGTACTAGTTAAATTTATGAAATAAATGTCATACATGCCAAAATTGTTTAAATATGTAACATATATCAGAATAACAGAATTTTGCACAAAGTTTTTAAATGCTAACCGTAACAGACAACTCAATTTTTAGGTAAACTTTAGCTGTAAATTGGAAACATTTAAAAATGATTCTAAAAAGTAAGACTAACTCTAAGGAAAGTTTGAGAATAGACAGATGAATGTAATTAAAAACAAAAGTAACTTCCAAAGAAAATAAGTAAGTTATAAATATAAGATTTATGTAAGTTATACGTGTGATGACTTATTTATCAAACACTATTTAGTTTGCGCTTATGTATCAACAATGTTTCAGGCAAATCTTAGTGGTTGCTGAAGTAGGTGCAGATATAGATAATACTAATTGAAGACAGATTTCTCATTAATTACTAAATCAATAAAAGTGAAGGCAGGACGTATATAACAACACTTTCCTTGGTTATAATTGCTAAATTTCTTCCTAGTAGCATGTGGTTGAATAAAATATATTTTTATCTATAATACCTTTATTTAAATAAAATCAAATTTTAAAACATTCAAAAGAGCATTAGTCAAAATGTTTTATATTACCTTAGCAAACTGTATTCAAATTATGAAGCTTATATTTTTTTAATAGATCTGTAGACAATTTAATTAAGGACGGGTTATCGTGCTGTATGATTTTTCACTAGACTTAAGATGGTCTATTACCGTTATGCTTTTCACATCATTTAATATTACAAATTAACAGTTTAAAATGTGTTACTAAATAGGTTGAAACATTGTGCAGGGCAACATCATTCAGTGCTTAACAAATCAATACTTTCTTATATAAAAGAGAAGTACCCCGGAACATAATTTCAGTTCTAGTATCCAAAACTCACACATGTGGATAACAAGGAATATTAAACAAATTAATTTTGTTTATGTAATAAATTACATTTATTATGACAAAACAAACTGTGACCTGAACACGAACAAACAAATTTTAGTTTCAGACATGCGTGTTACATTTAAGGACGTCACAAATATTTTTCATTTAATATATTTAATAAAATACAGACCTGTATTTGTTTATACATTGTTTCCTAAGAAAAAATTGTGTAATAAATATCAATAACGTAGTTGTAATTAAAATTTCAGGTAAATAATATGACGTGCTTTTAAATTTTAATAAAACTATTTCATTCGTATTGGCCAACGTCTAAATATTGATAAACTTACAACTTCAACACCTATAACACCTCCTTTATTCGCCAGCTTTGTGGTCCAAGTGAAAGTGTACTGGCCTGGAATGGGATGGACGGCGCAAATTGCAAGTTCTAAAGCTATTTGTGCTATCCGCTGCCACGTCATTGCTATTCGCCAGTCATCTGCGCAGTTGTCAATCATAAATAACTGAAAATTAAAGGTATATACGATTAACAAAAATTTAATGCAATCTACTAATATTCATTAATGCAGAGCTTTTGCTCTCTTCTTAGCTGAATTATTATGGGGTAAAAGGACGTGACGCCCTCACTTCAGGATAACATTATCCTGTGTTGTAAGGACGTTTTACAAACATAAATTTCACGTGGACAAACACCCAGATGCTAAACAGCTATGTGTGGTCGACAGATCAGTTTAATGTGCTCCGTAATACACGCTATGTCATAATTGTTAATTAATAATATCGAAGTTAATTTCCCAATTCCCAAAAACACTACGGTACACGAAACATTCAAGAACAATTGCCTCATTGTAGTATGAAATAAATAGAAAAGTGACTGAAGCCATTGTAGCTGGGCTCTATTAAATATTTAGAGGACAGTTATCATAGCAAGCGCTGCAAGCACTATGAAAAAAAAGAATAAATTTTAAATACACCGGAATTGTTGATTTTCAAATGTTAGAGGTTTTAAGTATGTTATTTTTAACTTTATAATTATGGCCAAACGTTATTATTCTTCGCAAGGAATAATAATCGATAAAAATTCGGTTTGAAATTGTACCTAGTCCGATATATTTGTATTTTGTAGCATACTCTAAAAAACTTTTGAAGTCTGTCTATCCCTACTATACCCTAATACTCTCAGTAAGGAAGAGGGTTTGCCCAGCAGACTTAGTTTACTTTTTAACATTATTGAAAAATCGTCAAAAATACGTAACTTAATCTTACTCATATATCTGCCAACCCTTTGAATAGATGAACATTTGATATTCGAACACTAAAATTTTAGTAAAAAAATTTAACATATAAAAGTGCACATTGCGGGTTCAACTTCAATTTATACACGAATAAAACTCACACATACCTGAACTTCTAAAGCGTGATACGCAACAATTAGGCCAAGCAAAATCACAGTTGACATGGATATTAAGGTCTTTAACGCCTGCGAGTAGATAGACGCCTGAAACGTAAAATTCATATTTAATTTGCATAATTCGTAATACTTTAACATATGAATTTAATAGAACCTTAAAAGCGTTACCTTCGTATAAACACCAGCACTGGAAAGTTCATTTTCTATTACCATTATTATAATACCAAACATTCCCATTACGAGTGCGTAGTCACTTATTCGTTTTCGTTTTTCGAATAATGCCTTTCGCCTACCTAACCTGAAAAGAATGAAGGAAGTGTTTGAATAATTAATAAGCGATAGTAACGTTTTAACGGTAGTTATCATTAAACTTAACTTGATTCTCTTTTAAAGGTTAATAAAACTGAAGTATTGGTTAGGATATATTTCTGTTAAAACCAAACTCTTATTATATGCTATATATATATATGTATAAAATATTATTAAAACAAGAGTTTTAAAATTTACAGCAATAGTCAAAAAATAAGCACAATAAAATACAGTCATATGCTTTTTTTTTTCAATAACAAAGTACTGAATCATCATTCTTCCAAGATCGATCCGCTTCAATGAAGTTATTTCCGTTTGGTCAAGGCTAGGTACGGAGTGTTTAGCAATACATTTATTAATAAAATATATTCAGAGGTACATTGTACATGCAGATTTCAAATAAAATTAAATCATAAAATTTTATTTTGACGAAATATAATATTAACACCTTGCGTGACGTAGTATAACATCATTACGCTGTATAAACTAAACATGAGTGTAATATTATTTTCAATACTTTTTTGATAGTTAGTGTCATGAATTGAAACCAGTTTCTATGAGTTTTGGGGGTTTTTGACCTCAATATAGAGGATTAATGCCTTCAAACCGTAGCGGTTGTTTACTGAGCTACGGCACTGGTAGCACAAATTGTAGCCGTTTAAGACGTCTCGCGTATTTATTTAAAGGATGAAGTAAATCAAATAATTTTGCTTTTAATTTTATATACGTATAATTTAATAAATTTATTATTCCTAATGAAAACTACCAGCACGTTTGACACTTTTGAGATAAGCATAAATCCTGATCTCGCGTAAGGGTCACGCTCATATCCTTACTAATATTATAAACGCGAAAGTTTGTATTTATGGATGGATGTATGATACTCTTTCACGCAAATACTACTAAATGGATTCTGATTAAACTTTACAATAACATGGCTTATACATCAGACATAGGCTATAGTTTGTAATTTGTAATATTCTTTTTCATATCAAACAGCGCAGTAAATGAAAATTTTATCACAATAGTAATACGTGATAAAAATAATTTCTAAAATAATTCCTAAAATACTTGTTATTGACTCAAAACTAATTTTTACAAGTTTGTGAATGTAAAAATATTTCACTTCTGACGTGCACTCCTCCAACACTGATACTTTTTTATTGAATAATTTAATCTGATTTTTTTCCTTACTAGATTAACATTTTGAAAACTTAGAATAACATGGTTCTCTACACACATTGAATGGATTCACAACGTAACACTTAAATCTCACATTCTAATCCGTAATTCATTTACTGAAATTACAACTATCGTGAGACCAGATCTCAATGTGTACGTTCAATTAAAATTCAATTAAGAGATAAGCAAACGCTGACCTATATCCTATGTTCGGCTTGTGCTTAGCTGTCCCCCCGCCTTTGTACGTGCCGCCGCCGAGGGCGCGCTCTTCGCCGAAGCGCGGGTACTCGCTGTGAACGCCAACTAGAGCGACGCCCGCCTCTTCGATCGCCGCGTCCCTACCGCTGGAGTATGACTTCATAGCGCCAGGTATCGATACCGTCGACACCGGCTTCCTCAGCTGGAATCCACAATGGTTAAAATCAATCAGATCGCCTTTAGAAAACCAGTGACTGACAGCGGCAAGTGTACCATTATTACGTTACACTTGTTCGCCCGTCCATCTATTCCAAACGTTCTCTTACCGAAACACTTAGCTTCGAATCGATTTTCGCCCCTAAGCGGGGCAAGCATAAATTAATGACAGTTAAAATTTATACGGTTATTTGTCAAACTAGAACTTCTTAGTATTGGCATTAATTTTAAGTAATATTGCTTTTGAATATAAAATAAGAAAATATCCAAAATCGTCTTTAGGGTTTGTGTAGTAATTATTCGAGAATATTGTATTCGGTTCCCGCGGCCTTCGAGCGGAATTATGAAAACTTGCCCAGCAATAAACAAAGCCCCCAGTGAACTTATTTTGGAAAAGTGGAAAATTACATTTCGTTCTTCGTTCAATTAAAATATATCTTTGGCTCAGTTAACATTTCAGTAATAATGTCTTAAATGAAACCATAAAATATCATACTTCATCGTCCCGTAAAAACTTCGAAATATATTTTAACTGAATGTGTTAACATGAAATCAGATGTAAGATGATACTGCTGGTGCCATTAAATAATACTAGCCTACTGCTAGCAGCATCACTATTTGTATGCATATAAATTTTATGACTCATTATAACTATCCAACCATCTTTATTGTACTACTCTTCTCACATTTTCAACTGGAGAGCAATGAAATTTTCACGACGTTTTGCATTGCGTTTCACATTAATGTTTTTGAAATTAATTATCAACTTGTATTAAACTTAATACCTGGAGGACCTTTTTTGGCAAATCGAGTATTTTGGAAATAAAAAAAAGAAAGCAATGATCTGGTATAGAAAAAAAAAGTAAAAAAATAAGTATGTTAATGATCTTCTGTTTCGGGGTGGCCCGATTACCGACCGAGCTATGATAACATTTTTTTTTCGGCAAAATTTACCGTCATATTCGAATGATATTTTTCTTTCCCTACTACAAATATACAAGAATTCCACATTTAAAGGTATAATTATTATCGTTCCAAACCTAGAATGTGTTTTCTGTATCTACTGAACATTTTAGATTTCAGTGAATGTTCACTTGGGAAAAAATCAGCGGTTAAGTACTTCTAGAGAGTATCTATAATACAATAAAACAAATGAAACTTTTTCCATATCTCTATAGTTGTAATATACGTATTTGTTTAGAAATAATGTAAATTGCTTATTATGCAGTTTTCGATGTTATTTATGATTCTATTTATTGTATTAAAAATATTTCGTTGGTGTAATACCGTCATCAAATATTAACATAAACGAACAAATAATCCATTAGGCATGTAAGTACGCTAATAATAACGCAAAGGATTTATGTTTAGAAATTTTGAACAGTATTAAACCTTCAACCTTCTTATAAGGTAACGCTTAATGCTGTGTTCTCATTTTAGAACATGTGAACTGTGTACGCGGACTTATACCCGTAACTTGTCTAGCACATGAAAGGTTTCTTGGAAAGAATATTTTCTATTCTTTGTATATATGCGCATTCCTAATGAGTTCTCAAGCATTCATTTTTATTTTATGACGTAAGCATTTCTGTTATTTTGTCTTCAATTAGTCGATCACAAATATCGAGTTAACTTAAACATTAATATGCGATAAAAGGAATTTAGTATCTTTGTACTGTATAATTGTAGGAGACTCAACTAGTGGAGATTGTGTGGCATTTGTAATAAATTGGTGCTTTCCTGCTACTATTATGCTGCTACTATGGAGATAGGTGTTGGTTGATGATGAAGTGAAGAAGGAAGACTTAAAGAAACTAAACAACTGATTACAATAAATGTTATATGTTAGATTTATATTCGAATGTTGAATACAACCTTATTCAACATTCGAATATAAATCTATGGTATTTGTTTTCAATCTTAAAATAGAAGAGAAACTTTTGAAGAAAACCCTTCTGCAGGGAAATATGATAAGGGGAAAAGCTAAGCAAAGATATGTCAAGAGCTTTTCAGTTGAAAGCTTTCAGGCGCACTACATTTACTTTCGAAAGAAAAACGAAAGAACGAGTTCTGAATTTCTGCAACTGAAGGTAAAAATTGAAAGGTAGTGTTAATTTTAAGTATTGTTATCAAACATTTGTTAAGAAAAAAGACCAGGATATTTGAACACATAGCTGACGTGAAGCAACGACGGTTGAATAAGTCTGCAGTTTGTGATCATAGATTATATTATAGACCGCCCCAACCACTACATATGATTTGAGAAGCCGAAAATCCTCGCAAAAGAACACCGATTCCTCCGTAAGATGATCCGTGAGGATATTGAAATAAATAAACATCCGAATTTCAATAGAGAAGAGATTTGGGCTTTATCATCTGCTTGGGATCTCATAACTTATAAAATTAAATCCAAGAACACCAACATTGCTACACTTCACACAAATAAACAAAGGATAGACGGTAGCCCTGGAAACTTTGTCATGAACCCCGAAAGGGGTTTAAAATGTCGGCAATTAAAAATTAAAATTAAAATACGATAAAATCTGTAAAATAATTTCATCAAAATAAGTTTACTTTATTATCATTCCTCGATCAGGGTATAACCCTTGTATCGCAGTAAACTTTGTACAGTGGATGATTCGATTTGATTTGTCTCGTGTGCAGATCAACCTCAGGTCACGACAGTCGCAATTGATGTTTGTACGTTTTAACAATTTAAATTTTACTATTTATTTTATGTATTATGTATTATGTTACAATGTATTAGTGTTATGTTAGTATTATGTTCATATCTTGGTGCTCGTATCAATAAAGTTGTCAATGGTTACGTAATGTGTTGATTTATCCCCGAAAATGAATGAAAACGTGGCGAAGAAATGAGCATATTTCCGAAATAACAACAAAATCCCTAAGATCTCTGCAGCCTGTAGTAGTGAGGTCAAAGATGGACTACCCTTATACCCCATGACGTGTAAAGGAGTCCTTTGTCCAGCAGAAGGTTATTAGGCTGCTTAGTTTCCTTTAGTTTTTTTTTAACCAGCCTACGTATATCAGGCCTGATTAATTAGAAGATACTTCAAATTATTTTAGCAAAATTGATGAAAAGAAAAAAAAAAACTACAGCTTTATGAACCAAAAAGAAAACACAATATCTCCAAAGAAAGGTTATGCAGGTATAGACAAAGAACTGTTAAAGCTTTCAAGGCTTAATTACGATGGAAAGTGGAATTAAGCGTTGTTTTAAGTTCAAAGGCGCATTCAACTGTGTGATTATAGATAACTTTGTTATCTTGGCTTCAAATTTTTGTGACAATGGTTTTCGTGAGGCGAAAATACAGAACATACATTTAAGTTTACCTTTATTGCGGTTATAATTGAGTACTATGTTTTTAACAGCTACCAGATTGTTAACCTATGGACTAAAGCTCTTCTTTAACATATTTTACATAACAATTGATGACTCCTCTGTCTTTATTTTATTATGAAACGGTGGCAAGAGAGTAGCGATTCACCTGATATTAGATAACCGCCGCCCTTGGACATCTAGAACACTCGTAGGGTTACAGTCGCCGGAAATTGCACGATTACGTAGTTGGCGCCAGTATACAAGGGCCCGAAAATGTAGAAGGTGAAAGAAAAGGATGAAATTGCCAATTGTAAACAGGGAATATCGAGCAACCACTCAAGCGTTGCAAGCTGCCATTTTCAACGCCAGGGCACAATCCTGGGCAGAATTGTTGGAGGAACTTAATGAAAATGATAACGGAAACTCGGGACTCGAATCTACTGGAAAGAGTGGTTAGCTTATTTTCCCAGATAACCGGTTCCCAGATATCCCTCTATACAAACTCCAACGTCGGTACAAGAGCGGCAAGAGAATATAGGAGTGACAGTATTGGAGATGGGTAGAGCAGTTAGCCAATTAAGAGCCTGAAACACCTTGGCTTGGGTGTTAAGCCTATTTATATTGGGTGAATGGGTAATTCTCCAGCTGTCTACATAACTCCACGCTCCACAAGCTTTGGAAAGAGGTTAAATTGGTCCTCTTGAAGAAGGAAGGTAGTGCTGCAAATTCTTCCTCTGCGTAAAGTCTGATTTGTCTGTTGGACGAAGTTGGCAAGATTTTCGAAAGAATCATTGCCTCCCGCCTCAATAAACATCGGAAGTCGAAGTCGGTCCCGATAAAAAATCAGGTGGGAGATGTATTGTGGGGTTCCACAGGCCTTAGTGTTGGGTCCATTAATGTGGAACATTGCATACGATGCGGTTCTGCGTACCGAGCTCGACGTCGTCTGCTATGCGGATGACACGCTAGTGGTTGCTAGTGGGGAAAATTTCAAGAGTTCCAAATGAGATAGCTGAGCTTGGCGTACAAATCATTATTGATAAGTTTCACGAGTTAGGATTAAAGATAGCACCTCACAAGACCGAAGCGCTATGTTTTTATAAAATGTCGCGAAACACGGAATCACCTAACTCGTGTATCCACGTGACTGGGTCTGAAGTAAGATTGGGGCGGTATATGAAGTACCTTTGCCTTATTCTGGACTGACGCTGGGGTTTTGAAGAACACCTTGAGTGCCTTGTCCCCCAGATCGAGAGGGTAGCGGGTATCATCGCTCAATATCATTCGAGGCGGACTCCTGTCAATCCTGACTCGCTTTCCACCTTTGGACAAATTGGCGAACATGGACGTCATCCGCCAAAGTGATCGTAGCGAGTTAGTAGAGATGTTCGAGGCTATTAAACGGCAGGAATGGCTAAGCGGGCACGTGGCGTGTACGGATTTCTAAACAGCAATAGATACGTAAACGCATCGTAAGAGCAATTTTGCCAGTCTTTGAAGCCCGGATGCAGCGACGGTGCGCGAAACATTTCTGCGATGCTGCCCGAGAACTCAGAGTGGAATGCCGTAGCTTCCATTTGTGCGCCTGTTATGGTCCAAAAGGAGGCTGCTGAGCGTGATCGAGAAAGAATTCCACCCACCAGAGACGTCACGTCGGCAGGGAGCTGGTCCAGTCATGGCACTTGAGGAAAGCTCCATTAACTGAACGGGTTCTTGGGGCTGCAGGCGATCATGATTCTCATCTTGAAGCACATACTTGGAGTAGCCAGTATATCGCTAAGCCTGGGCTACTTAGTGAGTCAGAGCGGCCGCGGTGGCATTCCTTTAGGAGATCCCATACCCCCTCATCAAGACTAAAGATGAGTAACGTGGGGTTTTTGTCGGTAGGAATCCGACATAACCTGTTTACCCCCCCCCCCCCCCCCCCCCCCCCCCCCCCCCCCCCTACCCCCCAACCGACCAAAAAAGGAGGAGCCCCCCCCCCCCCCCCCCCCTGGTATCCCATGCAGGATTTCCCCATGTTTTTCATAGGGCAATCCTGGAAAATAAAAGGGTTACAGATGCGTTGGGTCCCGGTTACCTCACTCAACAAAAGTGACGCAGAAGTAAGACACTTCCGCTTCACAATGAGGTTGTGGCACTTCCCAGGATAAGTCTGCCCATTCGTGCAATAGCAAAGACTGCTGCGTAGCCCTGCCTCAGATACTCGGTACAATTATCTACATTATAAATCTATGTGCAATACTAAGTAATTGACACTTGTTTTACTTATGAAAATAGTGGAGCTTACTAGCTTAGGAGCAATAATAACAATCGAAATAATATCTAATAGGATTAAAAACATGATCAGTATCTGGTGTGGTCGTAACTGCAGTTTAATGTAACTTATTATATAGTAATAACCATTTTATATACTACATTGAATGAATATGGGTGGTAGTTATAAACTAAATAAATTAAATTTACGTCATTCAAGCTTTAGACTTTCATTTTCTATACGGGTATAAGGTCTGTTCAAAAAGTATCGCAAATTTTGAATTTCCACAGGTTAAATATTTTCGATTTTTTGTGGCATTATGTTGGTACTAATTTCTCTAACACATACCGACAAATT